GACTAACAGGAAGTGCACACTCAGTGTGCACTTCCTGTTAGTCCGGCCGGGTACAGGAGACAGCTGCTCCCTGTACCCGTCGGACTATCAAAGCTGCAGGGCTCGGCCACGCTACAGCAAAGGAAGCTGACAGGAGGGAACGCTGAGCGCTGAGCGCTTCCCTCCTGTCAGCCTCTCCTCAGGTTGCGCCCGGGCGGTGCGGTCCGCCCTCATGGACGCACCGCCCGAGCAAAGCTGCAGCCGCCTGAGGCTCTTTACAGAGCGCTCGGGCGGCTGCAGCATGGGGGGGCCGGCGCTCCTGGCCGCGCCCCCTCCCAAGGGGCGCCCTAGGTGGCTGCCTAGTCCGCCTAACAGGTAGCGCCGGCCCTGCACACCAGCAATGGTCACTGTGATATGCTGAAAGTGGTCGTCTAACACTCTCAGTCAATATTGCCACCAACTGTTGCTCAAGCTAATGCTTCCCCATTAACCAAAGTATCAATGGTGAATGATTAGCTGGAGACTCTCATTAAGCAATACAACATTAGAAAACAATTTAAAGCTGAATGCAAAGCAACTCCAGTGACTATAACCACTGTAGTGAGATGAAGCAAATACACAGAGCTCCTGTACGCTGACTGGGTCCCTTTGCCAGGTCAGCTTCCTCGCTGCTGCCATGGACTCTGGAGCACCTCTTTCCCAGTCTCCAAAACTCACGTGGCATCTGAGGACCTCTTCCACTAGAAAAGGCTGCAGTGAATATAGCTCAGTAGACCTTCTTTCTTGTAAAGCAGAGACTATAGCTTTTTCCCTCACACATTAGATGATTCTGAATGTAGGAGGTAGAATGGAATTTTATTACACAACACACAGCTATATATGCACCACAATATTGATTCTCCCTACAAGGGGTCTTTCATTCAATAGAATATACAGTACAGTTGTCCCTAACCAGCGCCACTCTGTCTGGGGGCTACATTATCTCGAACTAACACAATCTGCTCCCTGCTCTGCCCTCATAGTCCTTAAAGCACAGCACACAAAATGTCCCTCAGAAGCTCCATCGCTGGACTGTATCCCTAAACAATAGATATATATCTGGAAAGCTCATCACAGAGTGCCCTCACTGTCCATATCGTGCTCTAATTGGAGAATCTCCGGCCGAGTTACAGAATGTTAAAGTTTTACCGGGTTGCAGCTTTGTTCAGATCCAGTGGTGAGTTCCAGGCATGCGGCAGCTTAGTCTCAGTCTACAAAAAGGAATTCCTGAACCTTTGGGAAAGGGAAGGCACTCAGGTCCCAGGTATCTTCTGATGCGTCATTGACTTCCCCATCATCCCTCCGAATAGCACTCTATTTGGAGGTGTGGGGACCAAACGATACACGCGTAAAGATGAGTGGAACAGTTCCAGAGTGTTTTAGGATATCTTGAGGTGCTAAATTTAAGTCCGGTTGGGAAGCACAGTAATAGCTGGTGCTCCCATACACCTATTTACAGTGACAATAAGCTAATTTAGGGGCTCTTGGTACCAGGCCCATTGTCGGTGGGCAGGAGGCTTCAAGCCTATCCAAAAGTCTGTGGCATGGGAGCTTCCATCACAGTCCCTTCAATACATATATTTTTTATTGTTAGAGAAACTCATAATTCCACATATCTGACACAAGTGACACAGTAATTCTCACAAATTGAAGGAATTCACACTTTTAGGGAAGTGACAGTTCCTCTTTAAAACACTAAACATCCTATTAAGTTATATTAATTTGATACATACTGCTGACTATGGGATATTATAATAGTTTTTAATAATTCAGTTGCTGCAACAGATGTACATTATCATGCTAAGGGAGTTCTGCAATTTCCCCCCACTTCTTTAAAATTGTTTATCTGAAGAATATTAAAAATGTCAAGGGACTTGAGCAATACAGAGATGACTATTCAATAAACATTGAAGTGAATCAAACTGAATCTGAATAGAGGGAAATAGCTTACCTTTTCCAAATCAGCTAGTTTAGACTCAATGTTGCCATTTGGAATTGAGTTTGCAACACTTCAGAGTTCAGTGAATAACCTGGATAAAAGGGGAATAAGATAATGATACTGGAACAGGAGGTATCATTCGTATTTATTATTAATTCCACAAATAGAAATAACACATCTAACTAAACTTTCAAATATGTTTTCTTACAGCGGCAAATTTCAACCAGAACCAGAACATGATTGAATCTAGTGGTATGTTAATAAGCAGTTAAGATACATTAAAGGGACACTGTAGGCACCCAGACCATTTCAGCCCATTGAAGTGGTCTGGGTGCCAACTCATATCACCCTTAACTTTAAGTGTAATTATTGCAGCTTTTGTAATCTGCAATAATTACCTTGCAGGGTTAAGTGCTCCTCTAGTGGCTGTCTACCAGCCACTAGAGGGACTTACGGCTTCTTAGATGACTTTTGGTCGTCTAAACTACGCTGGACATCCTCACACTATGCATGAGTACCTCCAGCATCGCCGGAATCCCCATAGGAAAGCATTGAATAATGGTTTCCTATGGGGAGGTCTAATGCGCACGCCCATTGGCGCGCATGCGCATTAGGTCTCCCCTGCCGGAAGATGTGGAATGGGGGGCACTCCAAGATTCTACAGTACCAGGAAAACGGCTTTGTTTTCGTGGCACTAGAGAATCCCTTTAACAGCACAGATCAGTGCAAGACAACATACAGTGCAAATTGAAAAACATTAGCAGAAATCATTATGCAGTACAAGGTGCAATATGCAATAATGTGCAGTTCAAAATGAAATATGCAAAAAAAAAAAAAAGAACATGCACATCATAGTTTATAAGGACTTTACACATAACTCAATGTACATAATATACATAGTATACAGAAGGAAAATGTTCATGGTTCTTTTCATAGGGTAATATATACTGTTTATATTTCCCTATAAAAAGAATTTTAGGAATAATTTACACTGATCACCCACAACATTAAAACTGCATGCCTAATATTTTGTATATCCCCCTCATATTGCCAAAACAGCTCTGATGCATCAAGGCATGGACTCCACAAGACCTTTAAATGTGTCCTGTGATAATTGACACCAAGATATTAGCATCAGATGCTTTAAGTCCTGCAAGTTGCGATTTGGGGCCTCCGTGGATGGGAATTGTTGTTCCAGCTTATCGCACACATTGCTCAATCAGATTGAGATCTGGACAATTTGGAGGCCAAAGCAACACCTTGGACTCTCAAGGTAAACAATGCACACGCACCTGGCCATCCACCTGATCTAGAAAAAAATGTGATTCAGTCAACCTTCTTCCATTGTTCCATTGTCCAGTTTTGACACTCACATTGTTAGTGAACACCCTTTCGGCGGTGGACAGGGGTCATCATTGGCACACAACCCCATATGCATCAAACTGCAATGCACTGTGCATTCTAACACATTTATTTTATGGCCAGTATTACGTTTTTCACCAGTTTGAGCTACAGTAGCTCTTCTGTGTGATCAGCCGGCTTCTCCGGTTGTCCTTTAGTATGTACTAACCAGTGCATACTGGGAGCATCCCGCAGGACTTGCCATTTTCAAGATGCTCTGACCTTGTCTTCTAGCCATCACTATTTGGCCCTTGTCAAAGTCACATAGATCTTTTCACTTGCCTATTTTCCTTCTTCCAGCACATGACATTCAAGAACTGACTGTTCACTTGCTGGCTAATATATCACACACCTTGACAGGTGCCATTGTAATGATATAATCCATGTTATTCACTTCACCTGTCAGTGTTTTAATGTTGTGGCGGATCAGTGTATAACTATATATATATATACATACATATATACACATTTAAAATAAACTCTGATGCTGTAAATTAAAATTTACAATAACTTTGCTTACTGTTAAAACAAGATTAACTAAAAAAAAAACTTTTACTGTGTTCACTTGCAGTGGCCAACCTAACGAAGAAAGTGAGCATCCTTGAAACATCTTTGCCAAGACTTGGTACGGTAATATGCTATACATTACCTTTCAGTACTTAGTAGAACCTTGACAATTGTCCAAATCTAATAGGACTGCTCAGATTTTGGACCCTATGCAACCATGTTTCATTCTTTTTCATAAAAGAGACACCAGAGAAGATTCTTGCTATTGCTTGCCTTTCTAGAGCTTTTATGCCCATTCAAAACTACTTCAGCGTCTATTAACACATAGACATTGCTGACAGTACCCTTTGATGGTCTTGTGTGACATCAGTGATGTGAACTGCATCACTGATATGTGGCTATTATTATTTCCATTTTTACCATCAAAGCAGTTGTTTAATAATGGTTAATTCAGGTAAACATAACTGTTTTGATAGCTTGAGATTCATTGTGTATTATCATTATTATTCACTGAAGTGAGAATTGTTGGGAAAATCAAAGTGAATTCAAAGTAAATTTCAAGTGTATTTCATAAATTTCCTAACTGGAGTCATAGCTGACCTGAAGAACTTTTTCAGTTCTGCTATTTTACTCTTAAATTTGATATTTAACTTGACTTCACTTTGAATTCAACAAAAATGTAATTCCTTCTAATATTTCAAATGCATAAACAGGGACACATTTATTTTAAGGGTGTGAGTGAGGGTGTAGGTAGAGATCAGGCTGCTCTGAGAAATATTAGATGACTTACTAATTACAATTTATGTAACTAAAATGTAATTTAGAACAAGAACTGTAAAGAACCCACACCACAAGGGCCTGTAATCACATCTATGGCACATATCCCTCTAACGCGCTGAGCACCTCCCAGCGGAGCGCCACTCGGCATCTTCGACATGCTGACCGCAAAGACCCAGAGGTACTTCCAGAGCGGCCACGGCCAAGATTCAAGGTGAAAATAGTTCCAGGCAGCCGCTCTGGAATGTCCTCAAAACTTTAACTTAGTGGCGTTTCCTCTACAGACTTAAGATCAGGGCTCTATTTTCACAGACTGGGCATTTAAAGAGAACTATCTGAGGATACTATATGTGTGGGGGTCATATATGTTTTTCATATGTTTTTGGGGTAAAATTGTGCCAGGCCCATCTGTGTATGGGAGATAATTCAAACTGAAGTTTGTTGCAATCCTCTCCCAGACACAAAGGCGCTTGGATGGGCTAACTGTGTTTTCAATAGAGACCCCATGCTGGGGTTCTGGTTATATAAACTTGTGTTTCTTTTAATAAAAGTTGTTGTATTACCCTTCATCAAGTCTTGAGTGGTGTTTGGGTAGGAAAGAGCTAAAATCACGTCCTTGCGGGACTTGGGAAAGACATTCAACAGAGGTACTATTCAGAGTACAGAAGCTCCGTTACAAGAACAATATATCCGATGATTTTAAACACATGTATTGTAGAAAGTATCCTAGAAAAGAGGGACATTATGACAGAAAAGAGAGGCAGACGGATATGTGCCCAAAATAGGGACTTTCCCTCTTAAATAGGGACACTTGAGAGGTATTCAATTTTCACTTTAGTTAAGAACTCTGGATTTTCTAATAGTTTGTTTTGAATATGTAGAATACTTGATATGAAGAATTCCAGCAATCCATTTTTGTTATGATGGCTATAAAATGCTGTCTGCGGAGCTCGGTTCAGTTAGTTCATGAGTAATTTAGAATATTTACTACACGGAGCTGTTGATTCACTCTGTATTTAAAGTATTCAGAGCATTATTAATAGTTAACATATATTCAGTTGATTTTATTTGACTTATGTTTTGTTTTTCTTAATTTTTATTCTCCTTGGTAGATCTCAAAAGGACTTTAGTTAATAAAACTAATTGTTCATCCATTTGGGTCTGTTGGGATTCCTTGAAATGCTGCTATACAACCAGGCAATTTTTTTCAAGAGCAGATCTCACTTTCTCCTTGAAGATGTTAAGTCCTGTAACATTCATCCTACCACTGTTCTAGAGATTTAGGCAGTAATGTTAAACCTGAGAGTAGCTGTACATACACTTCCTAAAAAGTGGGAAGCGATACCTGGTGACAGGTACTTACATAGTGCAAACAGGGGCATTCCGAGGTCAGAAGATCAAGAGAATAGAATAGATGACATCCCTAGTCAATGAGTAGAAATGTGAAAAAGTTAGGTTGCTCCAGTTTGTCCAAATAAAATGCCTTTTAATCCATATCTGGATGATTCAATTCATCCAAGATTCACTTGTGGGGTCTTATTCATTGGGCAAGATTCCCCAGATAAATCTCAGACCAATCGATAAATTCTTATATGGATTTTAAAAGTAATTTGATTCACACAAACTGATACAAACATGTTTTTCCACAAGTCTACTAATAAGTCAATGTAGGTAATGGACAAACAATGACATGTGAGCCAAGTTCTGGTACATAAATAGGCCTCTTCCAAGAATGTGTTCTACAAACATGTAGACAACAACCAGATGAGCGCGGAAAGAAGGGGAAGGCAGATACATGACAGCTGGTGAGAAATGTTTTAGATGGTGTACACCTTACGACTTTTTCTACTGTATTATACAAAGGAAGTCACAAATTGTACTAAAAGTGGTGACCCATTAAACTAGTGACAGGTTACACTGCCTGAATGGGCATCTCTGTTCTCTGATCCTTTCTGAGCCTATGAGTAACTGCTGCATATCAGAACATTGAAAAACTGGAATTCCTTGTCTTCTCTTACTCCAATATAACTTTTAAATTTTCTATAATATGAGACGTTGATCATACATGGATAAAAGTGTATAAATCGCATCTGTTTGTGTTCTATGTAACTGTTAGAAAATCCACTTCTTATGTGGTATCTGACCCCATACACGTAGTTAGAAAGCTAAAGACCAATCTTTATTGACAAAGAGAAGAGTATTGCCCACAAGCTTAAAAAAAACCCTGTGAATATATTTTGTGATGTACATTTATATTTATTTATGGAATTTCAAAACACAAGCACTTTTCTATGTAAAATCCATTT